GGGGGAGCAGTCCCATGTGGGGGAGGGAGGCATTCCCACATGGATAAGGTCAGAGGGTGACGGCTTATGGAGGCCGCGCCGAGCAGCACGTGGGACACAGACGCTGCTACAGCACATGGGCGGTATTTTGACTCAGCAGGTACATGATTAGGCAACACCCCCTGCCCTTGCCAATGCGGGCGGCCTAAGGTGCCGGGCTGGGGAAAACAGAAGACATCAACCATTTCCCAATCCGGGGCAACGAGGAAGGTCACAGCTAAGTTTATTTGGGCTGGAGGCATATAATAGAGCTTTAGTAAATAAAAGCCTCATCTCAGACTGATTAGTACCGTAAAAACTATTGTGTTTGGGAATTGGGAAATGGTTAATGAAACTATGCTACTCTTTTTTTTTAAACATAATAGGTTGCCACTGTTCAGGATGACTAAGACAGGCACTCTTGATTTTGGCCGTCCCATCCAAGTCACTTCTTTTCTTGTAGCCCCCATTGGGCAGGTCACAGGCCACAGAACTGCCTCCCTGCCCCAGACCCTGGGTTCACCAGTGGACTCCAGACAGCGGCTGAGATCACCTGGGGAGGGAAGCTAGAGGCTTGGCAATGAGCATGGCCTCAGAGTTGTCCTCTGGTCTTCTTTGAACACTGTTCAAGGAAAGATCATGTCTAGAGCTACTTCCTTCCCATCCCTGAGATGGTACAGACACCTGTCCAGAAAAGAATGCCGTGGTCCTTACCTCCAGAGGGTGTGCCAGCGACTCTCCTAAGGAATTTAACCCACTCCTCCATCTCCGCCTGGGAGCTGGCCATGAGGACGTAGGAGTCCTGTCCAGTGCGACACTGGTCCCATGAGGCTAGAGAAAGAAGTAACACTAATGAAGGTCGTAGAGTGGTAAGGGGCTGGAGCAGGCGGAAGCAAAGAGAAGCTGAACCTGAGTGGCTTCCTTGGTTCAATTAAACAGCAAGTCAAACAACGCCAAAAGATGATCTACTTATCCTCAGTGGCACCGAATATCTGAGCACCCTTATTGTTTTTGCCGAAGCTCTAATTCTATGGACAAACCATTGACCACAGTGGTTTGCAATAGGGATGACTTGGGCTGAGAGTTGCTCCTGTGGAGGACAGAAGCCATTTGCTACCAAAAAGGAAGAGGGAGCTCATGGGGCGGTTTCAGTATTAGAGGAGACAGGACTGGCTCATACAGTGCAAAAACTGCAATTCATCATGCCAATCATAGATACTTTCCTAAGCTACCCTTGAACTCAGTTGTGGGGGTGGGGAAAGGAACAGCAACTCAGGGGGGAGGGAAATAAACGTGTGTGTGCCTTTCTCATGAAATCGAAGCTTCCTTTTCAAGATTACTGCTCCCCTGCTTGCACAAGACATTGCAAACGATAGGTTCTCAATACACATTTAACAGACAAATGAAGTTTGTTAGGACTTTCTTTACCATTTTAGTTTTAAACTCATGATTATAAATGGATATATGTAGTGTTTCCTGAATTGGTTTTCTCAAATGGACAAAAGGGTGGAGAAAATGATAGGGGGTCGGGCTGGGGGGCAGGGGAAGGGACCAAGAGAAAGAATGAGAGAAAGTGACAACAGAGATAAATAGGGAGGGAGAAGAGCATCAAACATGGGTCTTAGGAAGGGCAAGAAAATAATAGCAACTCCCTTTCAATTACAGGATACTATTATTAAATTTCAAAGCACCTTTGTAGACATGAGCCCATTCTTCTCTCAATGTCAGGCATTTCCCTCAGAGAGAGAGCCTGTTTTAGCACCACATTTGTGCTCAGACCTATATTTTTTTGCAGGAAAGCAAAAGACTTTCAAATTCCCACTGGTTGTCTCTTGACCCTATCTTAATGTCACCAAGCCTCATCTTTTTTACCTCTTGTAATGACCTCACCCTGAATCTCTCTTCTCACTGGGTTCATCAGCTGTTCTAACCAGAAGTGTCAGTCCACAGAAGCCCTGGCTATTCAGGAACATCCTGAGATGTGGGTGTTTCTAAAAGTAGAATGGGAAGTAAAAAGTTCTCAAGGCGAAACTGAAACATTCCATAGAAATCACAATCTCCCTTTGCTCTAGTATCACTTCCACTCTACAGATAATGTAACCTAAGCCCAGAAATGCAAAGGCACCTGCTCATTGGTACCCAGTAAGTTGTTGCCAAACTCAGGGCAAGGCTACTGGTCTCCTTTCTTCCAAAAAGAATTTCTACTTGCCCATATTGCTCCAATTTGACTTTCGCTAAAATTCATCTGGTGTCCTTCCCCACTATGCCTACACTTCAACCTGCTCTGTTGTTAAGAACATGCCTTTTCAGTTTACCCTGATTCCTGAGAGATCCTTAATTAGGTCATGACAACCCCATTGAGAAACATCCAACTCTCAAGATGTTTCTGAGTGGCCAAAGCTTCCATGGAGTCACCCTTCTGGTCAGAAGATCTGATGAACCAATTATGAGATAGATTCAAAACTGGGCCATCCCACTGGGTGAAGAAGGTGAGGCACAGTGATAGTAATACAGGTTCAAAAAACCAAAATCAAAGGAAATTGGAAAATCTTTCATTGCCCTATAAAAAAAAATGTTTGGTCACATTGAAGTGCTAGGATGGGCTCTCTTTGGGGGAAATTGCCTAACATTAATACAAGACCCATGAATAGAAACTCTGCCTTTAGGAACATACTTTCTCTGACTTAGGCAGATTGTTCAACATGTGTCTCATTAGGCTGTTTCCCTTGTTAGAAATGAGCTCCCTTCTTTTCTGCCCCTGCCTAAGGAACTCCTATATCCATTTTTACCTAGCTCAAATGTCATCTTCTTTAGGGACCATTTCTTAATATAGTCTCTCCCCACAGCAAATTAAGCTAAAGTCCCTATTCTAAATCCCTTAACATCCTACCCTTACCTCTCTCACAGCAGTAGCTAAATTATCGTGAACATTGGCTTCCTTATAGTTAATATCTAGGTAATTACTTAATATGTCCCAAACTAAAGCCCCAGTCTTCCCCTCAAAGCTTACTAGATGCACAAATCTCAGCAAATGCATCCTTCCCATTGTTTAGGTAAAAACCTTGCAGGCAACCTTGACTTCTCTTCCCCACATCCCATCCATCAACAAATGAAGTCCTCTCTACCTTCAAAATGTATCCAGAAATGATTATTTCTCACCCCTTCACTGTTCCCATCTCTGACTTGGATAATTGCAATGGTCTCTTCACTGGTGTCCCTGCTCTGCCCTTGTCCCTTTTCATTCTCAACTCAAAAGAGTTTTAAAACATAAGTCAGATCATGCCACTTCTTTGTTCAAAATTTCCCAATTCTTATAGCATAAAAACCAAACTTTTTACAATTGCCTGCAAGTGCCTGTGAAATCTGTGCTCAACTCTGACTGAATCTCCTGCTCTTCTTTCCTGTCATCATTCCACTGTAACCACATTGGTTTCTTTGATGTTTCCTGAACATGTGAAGTAGGCTCAGAGACTTTGCACTGACTGTTGCCCTTCCTAGAATGCCCTTCCTTCAGATGTGCATGCACTTGATTCACTCCTTGAGCTCCTTCAGATCGCTCCTCAAAGGTCATCTTCTCAATGATGCCTACTCTGCCTACTTTATTTAAAATGACAAATAAACCACTGCCATCCCCACCTCAACCAGCACTTCCTCTTTCTTTGCTTAATTTTTTTCCATCACAAAAACTATACAGTTTACTCACTTATTTGTGTTTTATTTTGTTTTGTTTTTGCCAGTCTCCTCCCACGTAGGCTGTATGCAGGCTATTTTGTGCCTGGCTCATAGCAGGTGCTCAGTAAATTTCTTGAATAAGTGAATGACATAGAATAAGATGGTATGAGAATTCAAGGCAACATATGCAACAGAAGGAATAATCTCCTTATCCCTGGTGATTCCCTTTGGGTGGGAGAACAGACAGTTTTTCTGCTAGAGGTAAGTAGGGAGAGGAAAGCTTGTCCTAAATTTTTGCCTGTCCCAAATGCATTCGAGGAAGGTAAAGTGACTCCTGACTGGGAAAAGCACCTTCCAGTGTTCAATAGGTGAGTTACTGCGCCTGGCACATGCTAAGTGCTCAGTAAGTCGGAGTTCTCATTTCTTGTTAGGTCACACTGAACCACAGGAGATTCCTGTCGACCACTTTCCATCTACCAAAATGGCAATTTCACATGGTTCAGTTTCAAGTTTAACCATTAATTTTAATGTCCCACTCACCTCCTAGACTGAACTTCTTTTAGTGAGCAGAGTCCCAGTGCCTAGTGGAACACCTGGCTCCAAGTCCATGTTCATGAAATGTGTTCAGAGTTGAACTGAATGCGCACCCACTTAGTTCACTTGCTAGTTATTGAACTAGTATAGGTTCACTGACTATATACAGAACTGCTATGCATTCTTATTGGGTCGGTTGGTTAGTTGTTGACAGACACATTGGATATGTATTCTGTAATACACCTCTATCCCACCTTTTGTCGCTTACCTGGAATGACTTCAAAGACAAACTTCCCCGCTTCTTCTGGGTTTGTGGCAATCTCCTTGACTGTACTTCCTGGTAGATACATACAACCCTGAAAGATTAAAAAGTCAGGTCTTTAAGATGAGCGGCAATTTTATCACCTGTTAGCTGACAATAAGCTGGAAGACAGAATACTGATGGGATGCAGAAGAACATGGAAAACTACCTTTGAATGGGGCCCTTCTGCTGCTCAGGCCTCAGTCAAATTAAGTGGTAACCATCTGAGGGCAAGCTAGGACAAGGTCCTGACAGGAAAATGAGCTGAAGAGGCATCATCACCAACACTTGCTTCTTCCCCCTTTTCCGAGGACCCAATTCCTGGCCAAACCAGACACCAGAACTTTGTGAAGGCAATGCTGAGACTGGGTGGACCCCACTCCTTGGTGGGCTGCAGGAGGGGGCGCTGAGGACTGAACCACAGGCAGCCATCCAAAGAGATGGAGTCTGCCCCCTTGCTAAGCACCTTCAATATATTATTCATGTAGTCCTTCCAGCAATCCTCCAGGCAGGGTATCATTATGTCCATTTATAAGGCAGAAAACTAAGGATCAGAAAGGTTCTGTCATTTGCCCAGTGTCTCAGAGCTAGTAAGTGGCAGAACAGTAATTCATCTAGAAGCGAGTTCAAAGCCACTTATACACAAATATGTTATTAGGAAACAAGTCACTTCCACCGTGTGTATGCTCGACGCTTTACCATTCGCAGTGCGCTGTCACATGCCCGTCTCATCAGATCCTCACAATGGCTCCCATCAAGAGCACAGCAAGATGTGCCACTTCTACTCTGCAGTGAGGAAACCAACACTTTGAAAGCCTAAGTGACTGCACAAAGGGACACAGTGAATATGTCCTAGAGCTCACGGCTCATAATTTACACCTCACTTGCTGTGGGGGGCAGCGTGCCTGACTCTGAGCTGAGTAGACGTGCGTGTCTTTATTCCAGAACCACGTGTGGGCGACGAGGACAGGCAATGGGGAAGCTGTGAAGGCAAGTCTGAAGGAACTCCCAGGTTGGCTCAGGAGCCTGAAAGAATAAATGGGTCTTGAGTGTCTAGAAATTCAAATGTCTAAGATTAAATGAGAAAGTAGATGAAAAGGAAGAAGAAACGGAGGAAGAGGGAGGAGAAGAGGGGGGAAAGTTGTCTGTAAAAGGGAATTCTGCATTTTTTTTTTACATTTCTCTAAGTTTATTACTTAAAAATAACCTCCACCTACATGATCCTCACCATCTTGAAATAGCAATGGCCACAGAAGAAAATGCCCCTGAGGTTGTGCTGCTGGGCCGCTTTGGGTGAGGTACGGCACCAAAATAAAGGCCACGTTGTTTTTAGATAGAAGGGAGCACTGCCTGGTAGGAAGGGAAAAACAGGGGTACCTGCCTCTCCCATGTGCCTCTCTAAACTACTGATACCCCAAATCATGTCGTCCAAAAGCAGTAAAAATAAAATAACAAATATATAGATACCATTTATTGAGCAATTACTAGGTGACAGGCTCTGCGAAATGCCCTGAATATATCACATCTCATCTTCAGAAGAGCTCTGTGAGGGATGGCTGATATTCTCCTCGTTGGCGAGATGGAAAGTACGGCTCCGAGAGGTTAGTTAGCCGATCCAAGATCACAAAGCTAGTTAACAGGAGAGCTGTCATTTAAACCTTGGTCAGTGGGATTCTAGGATTACAAGTAAGGCTGTACTTACAGGTCCCACTTACTCGCTGGAAGAAGTAATGATCAGAGTTAAACTAAATCACGCCAAGACACAAAGGAAGAATTGCAAGCCGTTTCCTCATATTGAGCAGGACAGCCTTGAACAAGAGAGGAAGAGTAGAAAATAGTGAAAAAGACATTAGTGGGGTGGGGGTGGGGTGGGAACAGTGCTGGGGAAGTTAAGTATTGTCCCGGAAAAGGAAGGACCTAAGTTACTCACGGCTGCTTTTGCCTACTTGGCAAGCTGATTGGGGTAAACTCTGTACAGAGATGGAAGGAAGGAGAAGTTTATACCAGAGGCCACAAACCCTATAGCAATGATGCTGGGGAGAGAGGTATGTTAGTGGTTTGCCAGAACCCACTTACGTTGGCTTAAAAGTGTTGCATTTTCAGGAACTCTGTGAACCAACCGTGAAACACAGCCATTACTAAAAGCTGAATTACAGAAACTTACAATGAAATATTTTCTACTAAAAATAAAGGGAATTATACTAAGAATTCATCGCTTTCTAATTATTTCCTATATTGAACCGTGATTTTTCTTCCTGTGGTTAGTCAGACTTAATCTGTATGGTAGAAATTCTGTATAATGTTGTGCTACTGCGCACCTCTTCTCAACTCTGTGTCAGTGACGTCATGTTAGTAGCTTGAATCAGCCATGGTCGGAGTATTTACACCACAGAAACTGGCAAATACTGCATCCGAATGTTCTGTCCCCCACCAGGACATTTACCAGCGCACCACTGATAGATAGACACCTGGGCAACTTCACAGAAAGCAGGAAACGATGCCATGGGACAACTAGGCCAGAATTATGGAAAACTATCGTTGTAGCCGAAACTTGAGGGCAAATTGCTGAGATTCTGTTTTAAACAACTTCCCTGACAAGAAACCTTTTGGAATGAGTTATATAAAATTAGGTCATAGAGTTACAGGCTTTATGCTGTGAGAACTAGACAGACTTTTCTGAGAACTTGAAGAAAAACATGCACAGGCTGCCTTTTGTCAAGCGTAGAGGTTCCTAAAAGTGGATACACAAGCGTCCATCCTTAGCGATCCATAACTAATGTAATCGTTCTACTTTGTTGGACATTAGGTCCAATGTTTCTCACTATCAATAGCACTGAATATATTATTTCTCTTGGATAGGTTCTTAAAACCAGAATGATTGGGGGTGAGATTGTTTTGGCTCTTGGAAATCTGGCCAAATTGCTCTGTATAAAGATTGCACCAACTTACAGACACATCATCAGTACATTTGAAGGTCTTTTCATCTGACTGCTCTTAGATTTTAGGGGTATCTCCCATTTCTGAGTTTTCAGGGGTCAGTGTGCATGTGTTATTTTTAAATTTACAGTGAATTTACATTTTTGTCAGAAATATTAGAAAGTAAACCTAAAAGAGGAAGATAAAAATTATGTGTAACTCTCCTATTTAGAGAATAACCACAGTTGACACTTCTGTGTATTTCTTCCCAAGCCTTTTCCCATAAATAGATTCAGAATTTTTTTTCCCCTCAAGAATGAGATTAATATACACATCACCATTTGTTTTAAATGGCCTCCCCCCCCCAAAAAAAAAAAATTATATTATGGGTTTGCATTTTTAAAAGGCATATTCCCCTCCAGAAAGGTCGTATGGATTTTCATTTCCACCAGCTGTGCATGAGAATTTCTGTTCCCTACGATACTGAAATGAGTAGAAAATCTGCCAATTTGATAAAGCAACAGTGGTATCTCATTGGCTTACATTGCATGTTTTTAATTATTACTAAGATTGAACTTATTTTATATGCTTTTTGGCTATTACATTTTTGGGGAAATTACCCATTTGGGTCATTTGCTCATTTTTTTATTGAGCTGTTTCTTATAGACTTATACTTTAAATATTAAGACTATTTTGTTTGCTATATGTTTGCTATAAACAATTTTTCCTGTTTATTATTTGTCTTTTCACTTTATTATGTTGGTTCTTAAGGTACAGACATTTTAATTTATGCAATTAAATTTGTTTTCCTGGCCCTGCCTTTGTTGTTATGCTTATAAAACACTTGCCTCCCAAAGATTATGAGGATAACTACATTTTCTTTTAGGGTTTTTATTAACTCATTTTTTACATTTAAGTCTTTAATCCATACAGAATCATGAATGGTGCTATACCTTTACTTTTTCCAAAGAATTTAGCTCATGTCTGTTACTTTCATTTTATCTTAGATATTTGCAATGTCTGTGAATCCCAGAACAATGTTAAATGATAGCATAATAAAAACACTCTATTTTGAATAGATTTTTCTTTATCTTAATGAAACGACCATGGATATATGAAAAGTCTACAAGGATATCCTTTTAATTCTTGTTTGTAATAATAATATAGAAACATCAGCTCAACTTCTCAACTAATTCCCAGTAGAAAATTAGTTAAATGAATTATAAAATGTCCATACAATAGATTATTTCACCACCATTAAGAATTACATTGTAGAAGAATATTTATACATTGGAAAATATTCACAACATATTGTTAATCTTTTAATTAAAGAATATTATTATACTAATTTTGCTTTTAGAATAGACAAGTTTCTAAGTGTATATATATAGAAGAAACTTGAAGAAGTGAGGGTTTGGGTGGCTATTTTTGTTGATGGGATAATTTTTATTTCCTACTCTGTGCTTTTCCACATCTTATAAATTTTCCACCATGTACACATATAGCTTTTGTAATCAAAATACACATATCCACATAAAGTAAAATATTCTTTCTAAGAAATTCATTTTATTCCTAAAGACTTAAAAAAAAACTTTTTATATCTGAATGAGTATTTGATTTTGCCCAATACTTTTTTCAGCCATCGATTCAGAGGTTGTGTGGTTTTTCTCACTTGACTTATTGATCTCGACCTACTCACCCAATGTGTTATATTAAGAAGTTTCCTACAAAATAAACCCTACTTGTCATCTTAGAAACAGCTTTATCTAATTATCTCAGGCTAATGTCATTCTGAGAGAACTTTGGGTTTCCTTCTCCAGAAATAAGGGAGAGAAGCTAGGACCTTGGATAATTTATTTCACCTTTCGATTTCAGTTTATACTTTTACGAAACAGCATTTTCTTACAAGTTTCATATCATTTGATCCTATGACAAATGCAGGCCTGGTGTGATTGACTAATTTTACCAGAAAAAAAACAAAAAGAGGGGTCCAGGCAAATTAAATAATGACACGGTCAGATGGTAGTAGAGCCAGGAAAAGAACACAGGCTTGGCGATAACGTGCCTCTCACCCTCCGCACCTCACGGACTAACCCCCACCGGGCTGTCCTTCCCGCTGCCATCTCCCTGGCTCTCTGCTGATGGGAAGGCTTCCAGCATCAGCTATCAGGGCACCAGTCACCATCTGGCCTGTGATTACTTCGCTCTGATAGAACTGGGCTGTTCGTAAAGTGAAGGAAGTCTGCTCTCCATGCACAGGACACTGAGCAGGAACTCAGTCTGTGGTGTGGTCTCTGGCCCTTCTGTAGCCTCTGCAGTGACAGACACTCAGCCCTCAGCGGAGGACTTTGTTAACCAGGCGCTGGGGATGCACCGTGGATCCTTAAGTCTGCCCTTAAAGATAACCGTCCTCTACCAAAATGATCATCTCCTTTCTTTACGATACCCTGCTATGCACTCCCAATATCTTCACCCTTCTTGGGGCATTTTTTTCCCCAGAGGGTTCTAGAGTCTGTCTTCTCTAATAAGTTCTTTCTGGCCGAGCCCACTCTTCCACCTCCAGAGACATGAGCTCTAGATAGGGTGACCAGTTGTCCTGGTTGCCCCAAGACATGGAGTTTATAACTGGGGCCCGAGGGTAATTTTTAAAACATCCCCTTTCACTCTCATGCACCATGATGGCCACGAGGAATCAGTAATGCAGGGGAAACAGGTTTAGGCCCAAGATTTAGGATCAAAGCCCTCTCTAGCCCATTCACTACATCAGGAAATCCTGTTTGCTATGTTTTCAAAGTATATCAGGAGTCAGATCATTTTCCTCCAGCCCACAACTCCCACTGAGATTCTCAACATCATAACCTCTCACCTTGCGCCTCCTTCCTCTGGCTTTGAATCTATTTTGAACACTGTATCCAGGGCCATCTTTTTACAACATAAGTCAAAGAATGTCCCTTTTCTCCCCAACATCCCCAGTGTAAACATTGAAGTCCATACTATGGCATACAATGTCCTTTGCAATCTGTGTCCGAATCCTTCACACACACCCCCACCTCTCTGACCTCATCCCCTCGGATTCTCTCAGTACTTCGCTCTGCTGATCCCACATTGACCTCCTTGCTGTTTCCCACATGTCAGACAGGCTCCATCCACCTCAGGGCCTTTGCACTGGTTATTGCCTCTGCCTGAAGTCTCTTCCCCCAGAGACCTGCCTGACTACTTGTTTCTCCTCCTTAGTCTTTGCTCAAATGATCAAAAGATCCTTCTGACTACCCTTTTTTAAATGATAACACTTCCCCCAGAGGCCTAACTCCCCTTAACCCATTCTATTTTTCCCTCACAGAACTAGTGACTATCTAACACAACTACATAAATTTCATAAATTTTGTTATTTATTTTTGTTTATTTTCTACCTTTCCCCTTATCTTCTAAGCTCTACATGGCAGAGAATTTTACCTAGTTTACTCACTGGTTTATTTCAGGTACCCAGAACAGTGTCTAGCACATAACAGATGCTCAATAAATATCGATCGAACAAACAAATACACAAAAGCCCCAAATCAATTTTCCTAACCCAAATCCACCCTTTCTGCTCCCTCATACGCAGCATTCCCGAGACCAGGTTGCCAGCCGTGACTGAGAGCTGTGTTTAGGAAGGTCCCCGGTGCTCACCCTGGGGCTTCCCGGGGGAAGATCACCCTGCCATCTTTGTGATTCAGGTTATGCGTCTAGAAAATGGTGAAAAGGAGCGGGTGGCCTCCTCTCAGATAAATGTGTGTCTAGTCCGAGTAAGAAGGCCCCTGTGGGCTTGCAGGGATCTAGGTGGGTGCCCTCCCTCCCTCTGCGAGCCCGGGGAAAGGGCCTTGGTGACGGGGACAGACAGCCTGCCTGGTACCTGCGGCTTGGTGTCCTCTTCGTCTTTGTAGTAGTAGAGCTGCTGCGCCCTCAGCACGAAGTACCTCTGCTGCCAGTTTTTCACGATGGACCTCTGCTTCTTCAGCCAGCCCATCTTGATGGGCCTTTCCAGCGGGTTGGGGGCGGACGACAGGTGGAAGGCTGCCATCTGCTCGCCGGTCATCACGCTCCTCGACCGAGCTATGGAGAGGAGCAGACAGGCAGACTGACTGAGGGACATGAAGCAAAGTGCCAAGAGTGGGCGGAGAGGCGAGGCAGGAACCCGGAGGGGCCAGAGGCGGCCGGGCCCCAGCTGGATCCCGCTCAGGGGGCCAGATCTGGATCAGAGAAAACCCCCCGGGGCCCAGAGGGCCGCCTGCCGCCCAGGCCGCTGCGAGCCCTGGAAGGTCGCCGCCCGGCAGCTGGGGTCGGCCCCCTCATTCTGCAAAGCGAAAGGCTGGCTGGAGCCTTCTGAAGAGGAAGTGGCCGCAGCATCTGACAAAAGGTGCTTCCTTTTTCCTGCGTGGGAGTCGGTATCTGACAAGAGAGGAGGGGACGGTGCCTGCTCTGAGGGTGCGGGGTGAGTCCCACGCAGCTGCAGAGGCCCCGAGGCTGCCGGCCGTCCTCCACCCGGGAGGGGCCCGTGCGCCCCTCCGGCCTCACTGCCAGATAGAGCCCTTCCCCAGCCCACCCCCAAACCCGGACGCCCCAAACCCGGCCCTGTCCACACAGCTGGCATGCAGGAAGCTGGCACCTCCCGGATTTTCCTGACCAGTGCCACCGAGCGCCGTTCTGTCCCCTGCCCACTGAGAGTGTTTACAGACTTTTCTACTTTTCTACTGGACCAAGGGCTCCTGTAGCTGCTTTCCTGCTCCCTGTTCGGTCAGGTTGTCCCTCCTATGTGACTGACAGCACACAAGCGTTTGAAAGGAAAATGGATCTGCCAGCTGAACACAGAGGCAGAATTTGAATCCAGACACCCCCTCTCCCCCCCAACCCACTGCATCGTATTGTTGGCTTTTGTTTTTACACAAGAGCTCTGCCTGTCATTGGACCAGGGCCAGGTGTCCACTGCTTATCTTCACCGTGACTCCCATCCAGAACAACTCTGTCCTTTCTTTCCGCCACAGAGAGGGATCACCCTGTCCGTGGCCCCAATTCAACCTGTCCCCTGAGCCTCAGCTTCCTCCTTTCCCAGACAGTTCGACAGTGCCCTTGAAACCACGCTGGAGCGCCTCGTCTCCCCGACCTTGAACTGTGCGCCACACTCGCCAGTCCCCAGTGCCTGCATTCCTCCGCTTACTGGAGAAAGTCACCATCTTACGATGCCCATATTCAGCTCTCCTCGGTTTCCAGAACATCCACGACTGACCTAAGCCACTCCACCCTCCCCGCGTGCCTCTCACCTGGTCAGACACCAGCTCTTCCTTTCCCAGCCCTTTCGCCCTGAGTCCATCACGCAGCTTCTCCATGCCTTTCTGGTTAAACTAGGATAATTCTAGTCCCTACTCTATGGAGTTGTGGAGATTAAACAAGCTTATGTATGTAAACCACTTAGCACAGTCCCTGGTCTAAGATAGCAATGTTAGTCTTTTTTACCAACAGGTGACTTTGCTTCCTACTCGAGGGTGGAGATCAGCTTTGAGAGCTCCCCTCTCAAAGACTTCCCTCTTCATTTCAAAATGTCGCTCCATCATCAAGCTTTCTCCCTTCCTTCATTCCTATTTCTAGTGCATTGAATTGACAACTTTTCCCATTGCTTTTGATTCCTTTCTTTCTATCTCATTCTAGGCCTATGGTTTTCAACCTTTATCTATGTTCATGGCATACTTTCAAATACCAAAATTGTGTATGGTGTTAGAGAATTTTTCTCCCACTGGCTCTAATTGTATCTGTAGTAATCACCCTGTTTACATGTGTCGTCTTTCAATCCCATAGTTCTGTCTGATGAGGACTCTGCCCTCACTGGGCTCCCTTAACCCTCACAAGGAATCTGTCACCTTATCTCATTCCTTCATTCCCAGGTGCCAGCTTGCAGACCCCCCTTACCTCCCACCAGGGACTGGAGAGGTTTTACTATGTTGTACACAAGGGACCATATGTATTTGATTCAACAACCACCTATGGGACAGACATTAACATAAAAGTGCATATACTCAACTGTAGTAAAAAGAAATTTGACATTTTGATGACAATTTGGCAGCATGGTTACAAAGGATTTGCTTTACATCTGTATGTCCTGGAACCCCAGTTAAAATTCTTCTCAGATCTTGCTCCTTAGTGAACTGCTATCTTCCAGATCTTTCATCTGTAACCCACAGGACAGACATGGGGCTGATTACTTACTCTTAGGCTGTATAAGTGATCTGAAGGAACCATAGGAGGGTTTCAGCAGGAATTCAATGGGGAGGAAGGAACCTGAAGAACTGCATACAGTTCTGTGTCTCTCTATATCTGAGACTGTAACTTACAAAGACTAATATCTGTCCTAGAAAGAGGGCAAATAGTAGGGAGAGATGAAAAGTGGATCACACATACACAATGGAAGAGTGAGGCATTGTAGCAGATGCTGGGAGATTCTCCCCACCTCAGTAGCCTCAGTGTGACCCAGCCCAGTATCACTTTTGTCACCATGCAGCTGAAGCAACATTAGGCTTGGTAGGGAGTGACCCCTCCCAGAAGGGGCATAATGTGGAGTCTTCACTTGGCTCTGGGTGATCATATCACCGTATGGAGACAGCTCAAGGGAATTGGAAAACAGACAGGTGCCACCTGGTTACTATGAGGACTCAGGCTTCAGGGACTATACCCAGGGATCCACAGAAATTGTTAGAACCACTACAGGAGACAGGAGAAACTAAAGGTCTCCAACAGCACTGAAGAAGTGGGATGGGGGGAGCAGGAGCCAAAAAGACACTGTAGATTGAAGAGAATTAACTCAGCAAAGAACTCAGTTGCTGGGATATTATTCTACAGTTAACCCTGAGAAATGTGTTATGCTCTGTTGTGGCAAACACAACAATGACAAAAACAAACACCTCAAAACCAAAACCTCCCTCTAGATGAGTCTGTACATTGCAGAATGGCCTGGTAAAGGCAGGGGTGGGAGGGGATCTGAGGTTCTTAGGCCCAGCCAAGAGGGGTCTAGATGCCCGTGTGACAAGTAGGCGACCACCTGTCTGCCCGCACATTGTCAAGACCTTTGACTCACCATCTTTTCTATTCTAGCTATGATGCGGTCTGCCCATACATCCACCCCGTGTTTCCTGAGTGCCTGTGACAATCCCCAGCATAAGTGGTAGGACTGTGGTCACTGTGTTACAAGTTAGAGTGTGGATGGCTCAGTGAAAACATCTGCACTGCTAAAATTAGGCCCAGACACGGCGGAGATGGCAGCTGGGGCTCCAGGGAACTAATGACTAAGCCGGGGAACTTTCTGTCCTATGTCAAGGCCATCAGCCACCTCAGCCATCAGTGTTGCTCATCAGCTAGGCCTATCATGAGGTGATGGACACATCAAGGACGAAAGCCTGTTTGGCCTTGAGTGTGACTTGATTTTGACTAACCTTCCTTATTAGTTCCTGTAAACAGTCTCTCTTTGTGGGTGTGACTTGTTCCCAAATAAAGTAAACAAAGAAATCTGTTACTATTTATGGAGCTATTTCTCATAATGAAAATAATAACTGTGATAAGCTCCGTTTGTGATCCAGTCATTGCACACTGACTGCACGCTCCCAGCTTTTGGGGAAGGATTTCTGAACCAGGCTGTGGGCTGGAGAGGGGGCTGCAGGCAGACCAGGGAGGCAAGGTGGGAAGTTCAAAGACAGTTGCTCGGTGTTTATAGAACACTCTGGACAGGGGGTAAATGAAGGCCTCATGAAGTCAGAAATTCACCCTTCCTCTAGTAGAGAGAGAAAGAACAGCCCCTAGCATTGTGCTGTCCAATACAGTAGCCACTTGCCGTGAGTGGCTATGTACATGAAAATGAATTTTAAAAATTAAATTCAGTTCCTTGGTCACACCAGTCACATTTCAAGTGCTCAGTAGCCCCACGTCGCTCATGGCTAGAGTGGTAGACAACACAGATAGAGAGCGATCCATCATCAGAGAAAGTTCTGTTGGTCAGCACTTCCCAGTATCTGAGTGTTATCGTTACTAAACACAGGACAAAATAGGCCACAAAGGTTGGGCAGCATTTCATCAAATAGAGAAATCAAGCTGGAGGGCCCAGAGGAAAAGTAGCTTCAAGTGGCAGAGTGAGCAGTTCAAGCTCGATCTAACAGGAGATAATAGGGAGCCATTTCATGTACCTCAGCAAGGGAGGCCCATGATAAAATATAGACAAGTCATAGGCTAAATTTTAACGTGCAGGCGAGCAAGAGCACCAGAAAGGAAGGAAGAGAAATAGAAGAAGAGCACATTCCCAGGAATGTGGTTTCTGCAGAAGTTAGTTGTTTTTGCCTCAAGTTGGAGCAAGAGACAATTAAGGAAGTATAGACAGAGAGGTCAGCTTGGGAAGCACTATCACTTCCTTTCTTTATCTTCCCGTCTTCTGACCTCTAACCCCAAAAACAATCAATCACATCTTCTAAGGCTTACTTTTGAGATATTTCTTTGTTCTGCTCTCAACTTTGCCTCAGTTTAGATTCTATTTTAGATAGCTCTGAAATTGTGGGTGAGATGGGAATAGTTCATCCAAAGCTGGATGAACGTCTACTATGAGCAGTGCCTTAGTCTGGGAACCACATTTAAGTAAATGTGAAAAGGGAGTAGAATCGATTGGCGTCTCCCCACAAACCCTCTCCTGAGCTGCAGACTCATCCATCCAATTGCCTGCAGGAGCCTGTAGAAGCCTCTGATGACCTTCCAACATCTTTGTCTTAAAAGGCTGAGTTCTCTGCCATGAGGTTCAGAGTCCTCTGTGGTTTTCCTTCTGCATTCCCTGCTTTCTCCATACCCATCCTGAACTTCATCCATGACAGTATGCCATTCCCTTTCTGGAATATTCTCCCCATCCAGGCCCATCCACCCCTAATTTGACCCTTTGGAAAGCTCTCCTTCATCCTTCAAGATCTCCTTCTAGGCCACACCTCCTATGGAAGATTTCTCAGCCCAGCCAGACTCAGTAACTCCCTGGGCTCTGTTCCTTCTTAACTGGAATCAAATGTCCATCAAAACACTTATCTTCCTGCCCGGCCTTT